CATTAAACCTCGAAAGGCTGGAGAATTCAATAGGAATGTGTCCTGAATCTTTCCATACAAAGGCCGAGACATAAAAAAGAGATTTCAGATACTTTAGTCCATGAAGAGACATGCTAAACCATTCAATGAGGAAAAATGCAAGGACTTGATTTTATCCATCTGGAACTAACTGGATTGTGAAAATGTATTTCTAGGCTACATGAAAAGTGGTAAAATAAAAAAAAATAAAAAATAAAAAAAGAGATTGTGCCTCTTCCTGTCTGTGGGCGGTTCTTGTCCAAAATAAACAGCAAAGTGTACCAGAGAGCAAGTTTCCCACAATTTTCTATTTGCACTGTGGCCATAAACACTAACACTCTTTAAAATATAATAAGATATAAAGATATAATAGTATATCTTTAAATGTAGTAATTTCTAGTCGTTTGCTGGCTTTAGCACATAACAGAGCTGACAACAGCACTAGCTTCACAGCAAATCTCACTCATTGGACTTCATTCATAAAACATGAGCATAATGTTTTTTTGTGTAAATCGTACATAAAGCCATTCTGCCATACATTTTTGAATTCATAAAAGTGTTCATATTTTCAAAATCTTAGTACGAAAATAAGACGCTATTTTTTTACCATAAATATATATAATAACAAAATGAATGAGTTAACTAAATGCGTGTAAACTGTGAAAATACATTTCACAAAAATGAACAAAAAAATGTAAACAGCTGTGTAGTTCAGTTTACATTTTATTGCGGATCTGTTTGTGAATGCTGTCTCGTCTTTAATTAAAACTGCAGGGCTCAGACAAAAGGCCCGCAGTGCAGGTCAAATACTCCAAATCCATAAAAGTCTTGGACGAAGCACACAAAGGCCATTTGAATGCACTCACCTCGATTACATCTAAACGGATGAGTTTTAAACTGGCACGTTAAGCAGAGAGACATGACTACAATGTTATGAATCGCTCACTGGTGGGAGTCAGATGACCTTTAGGTAACCATGGGCAAACCATTACTATTACAAAAATATAGAGTCTTGGCAAACCCCTCTGGCTCAAGTTAAATATTTACACATGCTAATGAGCTTTGTTTGCCACATTTTCCATTTACTCCGCTACTTTGTTAGCATGTTGTTCAGCTAATGATCCAAAACTCAAATCAACATAAAATATTGTAAAATGGTTTTAATTTTCGTTTTTAATCAGACCGAATAACTTTTATCAATGCTTTTTGGTATAGATTCTGTGTATCACTGAACTTGGATTCCTTTATTTATGCTTCCCTTTAAAGCGTCTTAAAATGGAAGGCAGCACACTAGGTTTTGGTACACTAAGGGCCAGTTCACACCGAACTTGTTTTTGCCAGAGACATGTTTTTAAAAGTTAAACTTTTTAACTTAAGTGGCAAATTTTTAGAAAGCTGTATAATGTGCGAGACGCTGCATATGACATGAGGGGCGAGAGTGATGGTTAAAGATGTCCGTCTAGCGCGTCTACATTGAAAAAGAAGCACAGTGGGATGGAAAAAAGCATTCTGTGTGATTGGCCCCAAAGTTTGTCACAAATAAAGGGGTCTTGCATAAGGGTCCACAGCAAGTTTACAGTGATCTTTCATCCTCTGTCTTTCAAAGCATTTATAAAAACACTCACGTACATCAGTCCAGTTTCCGTGCCCGAACGCTTTAGCATACTGAGTCGATCTGTGTTCCTCACACTCTGAACTGCCCCTCTCTCAATATTGAGCCTTCAATATGACTCTATCAAATCAAGCCAGAGAGAAAGAGAAAGGGGGCCGTAATAACCCAATAAATTGCCTCCCTGGGGCACCAGTGTGTTCACAGAATATCAAAACTCCTCTTTCTTACACTCTGCAGAATGCGAAGGAAAAAAGCTTCCTCGTAAATCTAGCAGCGGTAATTAGTGTTCCAGGGGAGGTTTATTTAATAAAATCATCACTTGATCTCAACAGACTTTGACATTGCAAACCTGTATGTGAAAAACTACTGCGTTAAGCCTCACAAATCATGTTAAGAGTTTTGATAGACATGAAACTTAATATAAAAGCCACATGACAGGTGCTTCAATAAGTCTGTCTATTTTTCAGCTCTATTTTCCTCTCTTTCATTCTCCATCAATCCACTTTCCCTATAGAGGGACATCAAAGCGATTTAAAAAAAAGAGAAGAAGAGACAGCACCACAGCTGTGGCGATACTGGAAACTGTGTGAGGCTTCGAATGAATGCTGGGAAAGCGAGGAAGCCATTGATCTTTATGGATTAGTTCTGATCTGCTGGGTTTAGACACTGACATTACAATACCATATGCTGGCCACATTACCATTAAGATTTGAATTAGCATAATCCTGTGCTTGCATGACATCACAACTGTTATTCAGTTGATCTCCCACTTGAATTTAAAAGTTAAAAAGTATTCAAGGTATGTGTTCTGGTTCTTAGATATTACTTAAAGGGATAGTTCACCCAAAAAATTCTTTTTCATTTACTTACCCTCAAGTTGTTCCAAACCTACTAAAGGGACATGGTGAAGGAAAAAAATATGAGATGGGATGAGATGTGTTCCCTTGCAAAAACTTTTGCATTCCGCCGCAAACTTTGGGTTCATGCGCAAAGAGCTCAAAAGGTTTTGAGAGTGAACGCAAAGTTTCTTTGGGGAACGCAAAACATTTGCGAGAGAATGGAAAAGCATTGGCTTATTATTTTTCCTCCAATCTATTTTTTCCCCCCACCACTATGTCCCTTTAGAGGCTCCGTACAAACCTGTATGAGTTTCTTTCTTCTGCTGAACATAAAAGAAGATATTTTGAAGAATGTTGGTAACCAAACAGTACATGTGCCCCATTGCCTTCCATAGTTTGGGGGAAAAAAACAGCATGGAAGTTATTACGGTATGAGTGTTTTTAAATATTAAATGTGAATTTAATGTATTTAAAGTTAAAAAAAGGGGAAAATATCAAATATTAGGGGCTTTTGCACGGGAGGAACCTTTTCATAGTTCCTAGAACTATTGGCGGAAGTACCCTGATTTTGGCACTTTCTCACCGCAGGAACTAAGAACTATTTTAGTTCTAGGAACTCTATTGGAGGACTCCTACTTCAGAGTAAGGTCTAAACCAGCATTATAGGAACTATCCGTGACATTAGTGTACACTGATTGGCTGAATGCACACGAAACACCAGCACCCGCCCATTTTAAATAGGCTGTGTAAACACACAGATTATAGCCTATATATTTCCTCCACAAACTTACTCTACGAACATGGAAAACAGTGATAGATGGGCCTCTTAACCTTTACGCTGATGAGAAGATCCAACGCAACTTTGAGGGGACCAAGCCAAACATGATTGATTATGTAGGCTATTTCTGCTCAGCTAGCGACACTGTACATCAACCACATGGCATACACTACTAACTTTTCATTAGTCTACTTTCTATGTATAATAGTTCTATCTAATAACATATTAGACAGGACTGTTATACAGATCTTAAACTAATGAACACTGAGAATGCGAGCACTGTATGCTCTGGCTTTCTCAGCGCCGTCAAAATAAGTCACAACAATTCACAATCACTTCAGAGTTCCTACTGGCAGTGCGAATGCAACCAGAAAACGTTCCGGGGGGAACCATTAGTTCTCGGGGAACCACCCTGGTGGTTAGTTCCTAGAACTAAGTTCCTAGAACTATCCGGTGCGAAAGCCCCTATTGATCTATAACCGATAAGGTTATTATATAAGGTTATATATTATAAGGTTATAATATATTGTGTATCCCTAATTTATCACTAATTTTATCATCATCCAGATAAAAAGAAAAAATATTGCTAATATGTGGGATGAGTGAAATGATGAAGTTTAATACTTTGGGTTAGGGGTTTGTTCAAATGTCCAGCCTAAGTATAAGGTTCTGGCCAAAAAAAAAATATATATATATATATAATACTTCATGTGTTTGTTTTGAGTAAATCAAGTTCACATGCAACCTGTGTATTAAAGTAATGTAAACCAGGGTGATTATACAGGAAAGAGAATTTTGTATGCCAGTAAGCAAAGCCCAGTTAAAATGCAGCTCAGGGTTTCCCTCTTTTCCACCCAAAACGTTTTTAACACAATAAATCTGTTATCCTGACGAACAGACATGCCAACTTTTCTTTCATTTCCCACCTCAACGGAACCCCGAATTCCAAAAACAAGGTCAAAGTGGCCTGCCACACACACACAGAATCTGACAGAGACATTCAGAAGCACTGACTGGAAAGAACATCTCTTCTTTAGTTTGACAGGGCCTTACACACACACACACACACACACACACACACACACACACACTCTCCTGAGGGCTGTTAGCTTTTAGTTCCCCGAAAGATGGATGCTAAACTGTGTGGACCTTTTACAGGTGTCTGGCACTGTTATTAATGGCTTGCTCAGTCTTGTTTCTGGCAAAATATACTGTCCTATTGCTCATGACCCACTTAACTGACTCATAGGACACTTTAGACTATAATTCACATCATATCATTTCATAGTACTACACAACCCTGCTGTGTCATGCTTTGCCATGTAACAACGCCACATGAAACCAAGTCATAAAACAGTGAAACTGATACACTGGCTAGAGGAGCCGATTCATAAAATACTTCAAAGATCACCAGTAACGCCTCTATCCAAACATTCACCTAGACATATACGCATACGCTACACAGGAGGCATAAAGATTAATTTAAAAGTACTAGAACAACATCCTCACTTTAAGACTAAATGACCTGAAACCCAAGAACTTTGTTTACTTCTTTGCGACAGTGCTTAAGATAAACCATTTCCCCGCCACACCCCGTCACTCTCACGCCTCATGTTTTAATTATAGCTATGCCGAGCTGCCCCACTGTCCTGTCCTCTATTTATAGTAGGGAGTTCGTTCTAGGGTGGTGGGGACTAGTACGGGATGGAAAAAGGGTTTGGTCGGTTACATGTTCAGAAGGGATTTTCCTTACCTTCTATGGATGGAGCCTGGTCCTGGGCCGCATACAGCATCTCCTTGAAAGCCTGTGTCAGAAAAATAGATACGATAATGATGAGATCACAGTCTTGTGGTACAGGTCAGTGGGGCAATGATGTACAGTATTCTTACACACTCCATTAAAGCAACTTGTTATGGCAGAGATGGTTCACTTGGCTGGATATGTAAGGTAATTTAGGTTACTTCAAATGTTGATCTAGCATGCTATAAGGCCATCTAGCATGCTTTTGTTACTTTAAACATGAATATTAAACTCTTTGTGTGAAATGTCTTTCAGTTCTCTGGGAATATGGTTACCTTCTTCTGTTAGCATGTCATTAACCTTGAAGATAATGAAAATCGCTGGACAATTATGCATGATCTGTATGATTTTTCAGAAAACATCCCAAAGGTAGATTCCCACAGATGATAGATTCACCTTTAGGGCTGCCTCAGTAATTTGAATGCATTTCATTTCATGTCAGTAAGGTTATTCTCAGTAATGGGTGCAGTTTCATTCAAGATGGGAAATAATGCAGCATTATGAAAAAAGTGTAAATCATCTTAAAGTTGAAATGTACATTTAAAAACATGCTAGAATGTGTGGGTTTTTTTTGTTTACCTGAATTATTTCCACATTCATTCATTGGAATACATAAAGGTAAAGCTATTTCAACATATCAAATGGGTCCTTGGCCTTCTAAAATCAATCAAATTTTGGAAACTTCCCCAGCTCAAATGTTTGATTTTTTTAATACTTTTTTTTTTCTGAAGAAAGGCACACATAAATAGTGATGAAAGCCATTGGTGACTGTTCAAAAATGGGAAAAACACTTTTTTTGCCCCAAGTTTGCATGTCTGTAACTCAATTAAGATTATTCTTTTATATTTTGGTTTTTAACAAACATTTCTTTTGGTATCTTCATTTTGAAAGGCCCTATATGGTTCAATCCCAGAGATATGGAGATCTTTATGCGGCTTCATAAGTAAATTGGTGAATTGTGTACATTTTCAGTGGTCAAAAAGCAAATGTTTACTTTGCACACAGCTGATACTTATTGCATTTAAAGGGGAATGTCTCAACAACAAATAATGTTGAAACTAGAAATGTATCTTGTTTTCCTCCATCAAAACAATTGCATACAACGTGCCTCAGATTTTAGTAATGGATCTACCCATCTCTGTGTAAAAATAAAATAATGATGCTGCTATCTTTCTAATGTCATTTTGACCCCCTCTACAAAACAACGAATTACTCAGAAAAATTAATTTATGACATTTCATATTTTGGATTTCTTCTTTATTTATGCATTTCTTTCACCAGAAAAAAAAAAGATCAAAATCAACAATTTTAGTAAATGGTTGAGTTGACATGGAATGACCCAAAAAATATTTTTTACATGATTAAAACAAGGTCATTTATCCCATCAAGCTAATTTTTGTTTAGCTGACAAAATATATTTTACAATGGAGGATTACAGACTCACTTCTCTAAATAAATAAACAAATAAAAAGATGGATGTAGCCCACAAAAACATTTATCAGCACTCAGGGGGCGAAACATTATCTGGTGATTTTCTACACAAGCTCATGTCAGTGCGGGGAACTGCTCAGTCAATATATAGCATAAATTGAAATGCATATCTTGATACAACAAAAGACAAATCGCAATCAAGAACATTTATTTGCTAAGCAGAAGACATCCCTAGATCAAGCTGAATGCTAACCAAGACAATTAATGTAGGGCTGTATGGATGCTATGAAGACTTCTTTTCACTATAAACAAATCTCACACTCAAGGTCAAAGCCTGGCCAGTGTGTCAGCCAATGAAATAAGAGAATCGCTGCATTGCCATGGCAATGATGAGGATGACACAAAGGCTAGACGTGCTCTCTGGAGTATTCAAGTTATACAACCAATAACTGAAACCAGGATACATGCGCAATACATCTGCTCTTCCTTCAGAAATATGTGTGCATGCGTCTGTGTGAGATTTGGCCAGATCTTTGCGTCCAGCGAGCCTGACAGCAGATGTCATCCCAGTGGGAGAGGGAGCACAAGTCGCTGTGTGTATATGTGTCTGTGTGTGTAAGTGTGTGTCAGTGCATGTGTGAACAGCAGGTCTGTGAAGTCAGCCAGCAAAGATCCATACATCCCAGCCAGTAAGCAGACCTGCTGCTTTGAAGAATATACTGTATGCATGCTCAAAACAAGCCACATATTCTGTATATGTACACACAGGCAAGTATCACTATATTGCTCATACTTAGGGTTAGTGATTTACTCTAAACCCATTCATTTAAGCTTAAAAAACCTGAACTGTTCTGCCTCAGATAGATGTACTTTAAAGGAAGGATCAAAGTCATATTTAGGGATCACAAATATTTGTGGGTGCATGGGCTCTACTGATTTTGCAATCTGCAAAAGCCCAACATTTCCTAATAATGCCTTAGCAACAGCCCAGAACACACTAGCAACCACATAGAAACAGACATTCATTTTCTCCAAAAGGAAATTGATTTTGAACAATAACTTAAAACCTTTAAAGACAGACCTACTGTGAGGTTGTTATTCCATATTTGTTTCTGCTCAACTATTTCTGGTTAATCATTTCAACAGCAGAATTCCTGGTGAAAAACTAAATTACCCATGATTTTGTACAAAAAATTATACCAATTAGAGAGTTTAAAAAAGCAACACACTCCAAAATAGCTTTTTAGCTCCGCCCACTTCCATGAAGACCCGCAAATGTATGTAATCTCCCTATGCTTTCAAAACATTGAAATACTCTATATTTGCATATTTTGCAATAAACTTAAAATATATTGTTTTTATGTTTAATCAATGTTCGTAAATATTTTACGGTATACTCCTCCATCGTTTTTAATTTGATTATGCTGTTTCCAATGCTTCATGGGATTGTAGTTCTTTCCCTCACTAAACCCGTTAAGTACACACAGTTTTGTCTCTATATTTTTGTTTGATTTTTTTTGCTTCAAATCAAAGTTTGTAGATTCACCTAGTAGCTGATTGGCTTGGATCATGGCTTATAACTTAACTTAAAAGAAGACTATTTAAAAATCCATATGGGAGAAATGAATTAAAAAAAACTGTTGCACTCTATTAGCAACTGCATAGCAACACCCTAGCAACGCCCATAAACACATAATCTTTCTCACTCTCTCTTTCTCCCTTCTTAATCAGCCTTAAAAGTCAAATAAAAGGGATTTAGCTATTTAATATGCACAGCCCGAAGTGTGAATCCTAATTTATTTATCACAATCAGTTCGTCAATTTATCAACAGAACGACTAAACGATTCATCACCCTTCTACTACTGCAATGCTCTTTCCATCTTAGCACGTAATTCACTTGATATTTCATAATATGTTCAAGGTCATCCTTTAAATATGTTATGTAAAGTATAAAACAATAAAACTTTTTTCTTGTTCAAAGTTTTAAGGGAAGGACTAGGTAAGGAAGGTTGGCCCTTTAAGAAGTTCATTCTTTGTAAGGTTCCTAAAGCCAGTTTATGGACTCAGTTTTATTGCGTAGAGCCTGTGCGGCCGTTCTCATTGACTTTCTGTGGCGCTGTCAGCCACAGGCGGCAAAGCAATACATGAGCAGAGACCGAGTCCATAGTTATCATTGCTTAACTGCTCACAGAGGGACTTCAATGACCAAACATTAATAAATTCAGCTTTTCTTTGGGATGCACTCTATAAGACAGAGGTATCACATTGTATTAAATGTAGCTGAAAAAAGATGTTCGTCTTCATCTTGTAAATCAGAGCTTAGACTCTCACTGCTGCACAATCTGTCACTGTATGTAAAAAATAGAGCCAGACAGTTCATTGATAAGGCTGTACAGTGCTGGAAAGGATATTGCTAATCATCTATCTGTGTCACATAAACGGTATAAACACAGTTCACAGATCCATTTAACATTCCCTGGTAGTGTCAAATGACAGGTTGAACATTATGAATTAAACTATTTTTCTTGAGTCCTTTGTCTTTTCCTTGACAGATCAAGCTGGATTCTCACTGCAGTCCGTTCACACATGCAAACTGGCACATGCGGGCAGTAACTGAGGTTTGACGGTGAAAGTCCCTCCGAAAAACAACTGAGATTAATCAATCTTAAGCAAAACAGATGCAACAGATATAGAGGCACCATGCCACTAAATCACTTGAGAATATCTGCATGTATTTTCTATTAAACGGTCAAAGACTAATCAATCTGCCAAACTATGTGAAAACAAAGAATTACAACAGAATAGACTGGATAAATACATTTTGTTTACAATAGTCGCAGTAGTTCATGTTTGCCTGGGTTCTCCGTCTGATTACAGATTCAGTGCTCCAGACAAAGGATTTCTCCTGCTTTGCGCCAAGACGCATGCTGAAGCCCTGACCATCCACCATCACACAACATATACCATTGATTTATTGTCTAACTGTGCGGTCAATAATTTCACAGCACAGAAACAATAAATAAATCAACACGAGATTAAATCTGGCTTGAAATCCTTCATTATTCAACAGTTTGAATGACCAGTTCAACATTTTTCCATCCACTGTTCAGATGTCAAAAAACAGCATAAGATCAAAACTAATTACATGACGGTCACTAATACTACTACTACTAATAATAATTCCTCAATTAATTTTAATTGAGAATGTTCTTCTGATTAATTTAAATTGAGAATGAAATTCTTTTATTTTAGGCAGAATTACATCCTCCTAAAGCTGAGGCTTGAAAGTGGGGCATGTTATATTTAACGATGGATATACCATGAATCTCTCGGAGCTCTTTCCTTTGTTCATAATTCATAAAACTAATGGTGGATGGAAACCTTGGAAGGAAACCATGGACTGAAGCTGTATTTAACCTTTTGTTAATGAAGAAAAATTTGTGCATTATTATACCTACTTTATGTTGTGGAAATTATGCATACATTTCTTGCTATTTTTTAATGCTATATTATATTATATTTAATAAGAATAATCAGAAATCATGATTATCAATTTACTGTATGTACATTATATGCAGCTGTAGAAAGAAAGAAAGAAAGAAAGAAAGAAAGAAAGAAAGAAAGAAAGAAAGAAAGAAAGAAAGAAAGAAAGAAAGAAAGAAAGAAAGAAAGAAAGAAAGATTTCTCAGCAGAAATACTTTGAACTCTGACAGTCAGCAAATTAATTGATGCAGACATAAAGTGGGCGAGCAAGCTAATTACATAAAATGACCTTTCTGGCTTAATTCCAAAACAATAAGAAAAAAAATAAGGAAGAATTTAGGCGAGTTCACTTAATACAACTTTACAATTCTGTTATATTGAAACAGAATTTATTATATAGATAGTTTATTATTATTATTATTAATTTAAGTGATTCTTCTTTGTGCCAAATGTGCAGGCAGGTGATTGGCAATGCTCCAGACAAGAAACCAGAATAAAATCAATAACTGAAATTTGAAAAAAGGAAGAAAAACCATTAAAATATACAAACATAAATACAATTGTCCAGATATAAAAGCTGCCAAAGGGTCCCTCATTAATACCAAAGACGCTGAAGGGACAATTATGAAATTATCATGTCGACTAGTATGTATTGTGATTCAATACAAAAAAAAATGACAAAAAAGTGAATTTAGCAATTCATTATTTTGCAGAAACATTACGTCTGATACGATTTTTTTTTTTTAAATACATGCAGGTCATTTAACTTAAGCCTGTAACCCATCTTTCTTTGCTTCTACATAATATTTACACTAATATTTTATACACTATTCAAATCAAACAATCCGTTTTGCAAAAGTTTTGCTCCGCAAACTGAACAGGCTTCTGGAACCTCTGAGTTGCTTCTCAATCTCTAGACTAGGACGCAACAACGGACTACATGCACCATGTAAAATGCATACATAAATCTCTCACCTCGTATTGAATATATTGTTTCCTCCATTCTGGAGTAATATGGGCGGACAGGTGCTCTGCAAACTTCATGCTGGCGGAGCAGATATCCACAGTCGGACTATAATAATATCCTCGGGTCGGGCAGCGGCTTCTTTGGGGCTTTTGTTATTTCTGTCACTAAGTTACGGAGCCTCATGCGTTGCGTTGCTTTCCGCTCTGTCTAAATCAAGTCCGGTCTATCACAGTCCACTATTCCCCGGTCCCACATATTACCCCGTCCAAAGTAAAACCCGCAACTTAGGGACTAAAAGAAACCTCGTCCGACTCCCCAAAACAGGTGCCTGAATGACAGCGCTACAGCGCCGGTGCGGGCGAATCTGGGAGTGACTTTCTCTCTCCAGACTCTCTGGGCGTTTGTGAAGAAGCTGGTGTCCGCCATCAGCGCGCGCTGAGTGAGTGAGTGAGTGAAAGACGCATGTGCGTCACCGCGCAGCGCGAGGCGCGTTTACAAATAGGCTTGTTGTTGTTTGTGATTAATCATGCTCGTTGGCTTAATATTTTAGAAATAGGCCTATATATTTTTTTTTTAACTCTTTGTTATTGTTGTATTCTAAAGCCTGGTTTCACAGACAGCTTAGATTAAGTTTGACTTAACATTTAAGTAGCCTAACTTTTATTAACGTGCCTTAGAAAAAAAAACATTACTGGTGTGCAGCTTGAGAAAAAACAATGGCACTGACATATTTTAAGATAATAGTGCGGTTAAAACAGCTCTTACATTTTAGACTAAAATGTCTTTGAAACCAGGGGTAAATATTCTATTGATTTCTTAATAGTGAAAACAATTAAAGTTTTAATAAGTAGCCTATAATCTTGCATATATTTTTTAACATATTGTAGCCTATATATTATCTTGTATATCAAGATTTTTGATATATTTTCATATATCATATATTTTGTGTGTATATATATATATTAGAGAATTATTTTTATTTGTTATAATATGATTATAGCTATGTTAATATTAATATAATGATGCACATGCTTATGATATAATTATTATATATTGATATAATAATTAGGCTATGCCAAAATTGTATAATTTAGCCTACACATTCTTTCCACATTCTTTCTGGCGGTGGTTTATTTCTTGGAAAAATAGACATTTTATAACAAGCTTGGTTGTAGCTGACCTACTTATCTCTATATTTAGCATACAAGAGAGCATAAACACTTTCAAAAAAGTACAACAAACATCACAAAATATATCAATATATTCATTGATAGATATTAATTAGGATTAAAATTACATTCATTGATTTAAATACACAATAAACAGAAAGAAAGTTAAAATTAGAGATCCAGCAGGCCATCTGTGCCCTTCACTCGTGTTTATGTTAAACCTATTTACTTACATTTTGCTGATGTATTGCTTGCTGACTCAAGGCCATAGAGAGCTTATTTATGCCTACAGCTTTATGTTGTAATATTTTAGCACACCAGGGTGGCTAATTTAGCTTCTGGGCAACAGTTTCGGACTACTACTGTTCTCCAACCAGAAATGTATACAAAAAATTACAGTTAAAAAAAAAGGTTTATGGTAAAATTACAGTTAAAAAAATATATATTTAATAAAATCTAACAATTTAGTTAATGAGCAAGGAGCGTTGCACTGGCTGAAATAACAGCCGGATTCGCTCGGGGAAACGTGGTTTGTGTGCCATCTAGTGGACAATGTTTGCATTGCAAAAATCTGCGCATAAATCCTAACTAATGAAGAGATTAATATCAGGAAAGGACCACTAAGAAAAGTTTGTTGTAACTATCTATACTGTAAATTACATTTTTGTAGCCCTTCTAAATTTGAGTTGAAATTCTGTCGAAGTTCTAAGTTCTTTGAAATTGCAATGGCCAATACTTCATATTATTCAATCTACAGTATAGATGTAATAGATGATACGTCTATAAAATTCGAGAACGTTTGCAATATTGATTTTGATTTCATTTCATGCGTTTACGTTACTGTAAAACGGTAGGACCAAAAAACCGGTCGCAGGACGCACTCGTGCCTATTATTGTGACGTACAACTCACGGACCAATTCTCAAAACAAGTCCGACTGAATCGGATTACGGATAACATACTGTAGCAGTCAACTGTCTGCGCTGGTTTTATTAGTAATTAATAATAATTAAAGCACAACTACTATTGATTATCCCTATAAGGCATCTTCATTATCTTCAATGGCGTCCCGATCTCCGTCCTCCTCCCCAGACTCAGCGACAGGCTCCGGTACTGATCCAGCCCGGCCTGACACCGGAGAGCCGCTCGGTGGAGGGTCCGACTCGGATTCAGATTTCGGATTAGGGAAGTTTGATTGTGGTTCTGCGGATACAGCGCTTCGATTAGACGGGGTAGATCCGGAGAATGAGTTCGAGGTGGCAGCGGACCGGGTCAGAGATCTCGCCCAGACAGCCAGTAGAGAGCAGCTGCTGTATCTGTACGCCAGGTTCAAACAGGTAAACAGAGCCTACTTGTCTTTTCTTTTAGTTTTAGTTTTTTTTTTTTTTTTTTTTTTTTTTTTTTTTACCATATCTGATACTGTAAAATCATTATAAATTTAAACGAGAGCTCCCGCAACACGATACGAAGCGTTAAGATTATTTGTGATTTTATTGATTTTTTATTTACTTATATATTATTGTTTACACTTTATTTGAAGGTGTCATTGTTACAGTGTACATTTAATTACTGAGTAATAGGTAATATAAATTAACAACATGTACTTACTTTAGGGTTAGGGTAGGATTAGGGTTTGGTTTAGGCTTAGTTCGTGTAATTATGCATAATTTACTGTTATTACTGTGGTAAAGTACATGTAATGTAACAAGGAAACTGTCAAATAAAGCGTTACCATATTTTTTTTAACAAATAATGATAGCTAGTAATACAAAGTTACCCAAAATGTTATGTAGTAAAAATAACTAGTAATGGTGTTTTGAAGTAAATTATAGTTTCCATGCTAAGTTTTGCAAACTCTGACAGATGACCGTGCCTTTTGGTTATGGAGTCGAAAACATTGGACATTGGGATCAGTTATTTGAGCATTTGTCAGTAATTTTATTAAGTAAATATATTAATAAACTTATGTTTGACAGGTCAAAGTTGGAAAGTGCAATACAGCAAAACCTGGTTTCTTCGATTTCGAGGGTCAGAGAAAATGGTACGCAAAGACTCTTAACAAGTCATGTGAATGCTAAATCTGAATTTTGATTTGGGCTCATTTCATAGTTGACAGTGACATTTGTTGTCATCATAACTCCAGCCACCTGATTAGTACTATGAATATTGTTGGCTCTTATGACAAATTGCTTGTAATTTTCCTCAGTTGTTAGTCTTTGGATAAAACCATCCGCTAAATTAATAAATATAAATCCACTATTTGTCCAATAATATGAGCTTTTTGAGAACAAAAAAAAAAATGTAATCTTTAAAGTCTGAGCGAGTGCTTCCTGTTTACAGGTCAGCATGGAAACAGCTGGGGGACATGAGTGCAGAGCAGGCCATGCAGGAGTATGTGTCCTGTGTACATGCCCTGGATCCAGAAGGCAGTGAGAAGGTAAATATTAAACTTACTCTAGGGGCAATTGCATAAGGGGATGGAAAACAAGGTTTTTCTTTGGTCTTTTGCGATAAAATTGTTTGATGTACTATAATATTGATGTGAATTGATATTCATAAGTCCCAGTCCACCTATATAAGTTATGGATTAACAGATTTGCTTAGTATTGTTTTGAAAGATTGTCACTTGTCAACTTGGAGATGGTTTGTTGCTCACAAATAAAGCATGACATTAATCAGTATTTTATTGTTTTCATGCAAATAAACTATACTTCTAGTAAGTGGATCTGTGCTGTAATGTTACTGCGTTACTAAATAACATGTCCAGAAGAGGGCAGTCTCTGATTGTGCAGTTGTTGTGCACTCCTGAAACAGGTAGTTCCCTTGGTTTTAATAACCCTTGTTTTTTAGGTTACAAAAAAGTTACAACATTTCTGTGTTTTTTTCCTATTGGAGCTGTAGATGTGTTATTCATATCCATGATATATTTCCTTGAGAATTATGCAATGATGTTTACGCAGGCTTTTATGCAGTAACTATGCAGTTCTGTTGAGTGGTTCACATCTGCACATGCTGCAGCCATTTTGAGTCGTGGTGCTTATGTGGGCGATGCAGGTTTAAGTCCAGCCTGCAACATGTCTCCAACTTATTACCTTTTTCTCTCTTTCTTGTACATTACCTGTCACTCTGTTTAAGAGAAGAGGGGGGAAATTAATAAATTAAAAATAATTTATACAGAACAACTCCACCTATAAATAAAATAAAGTCTGTCTGTCTGTCTGTCTGTCTGTCTGTCTGTCTGTCTGTCTGTCTGTCTATCTATCTATCTATCTATCTGTCTATCTATCTGTCTGTCTATCTGTCTGTCTATCTGTCTGTCTGTCTGTCTGCTTTGTACCCATAATCCACTTGTCAGAGCAGATACACCCCCCTTCATTGATACGACTGCAAGTAACCCAGTCTGACTGCCATCCAGACCAGCACAAAAGCGCATAAACAAATTCCCCACCTTTCAGAATGAACTGATTGTGTTAGTGTGTTAAAAAGAAGGCAGGCAGCTCCATTACAAGGTAGAGAAAGAGCCCTGGCGAGGGAGGAGAGACAATAGCTTGTTTCTGACCTCCTGTGCACTTCTGTTGTTAGGTGCACCTGCTGTGGAGGAAGAAAATAAAAGTGCACAAATTTACAGTATTTTAATATAAGCCTGCTATTCAAACAGAAGTGCAGATGCAGCACTTTTCTCCCCCGAACTGTAATATTTTGAAGTAATCGAATTAAAATTGCTGTATAATAGAGCTGGCTGGCTGCACAAAGCAATTTTAATCTTTTCCTCAGCAAATTCCACCAGAGGTTGAATATCCCGAGTCCTTTGTGCTCGCTCTCTTGTTGTTGCCAAGTGCTGTGCTGACTGGGAAAAAAAGGAAGAAAAGTGAATATAACAATGTCAAATATACAAAACCTGTCAAGTCTAGCAATACGTGCAATGTCACGCCAGTTTTCTGTCATATTTGAACTCGATGGAGGCGTATTGTACCTTTCTCTTGTAAACTAAACTGAGAGTGACTACTATGGGCTACTGTTGTGTTTCTGTCTTTTTCTATAGTTCCTTGTCCTGTTTGTTCAGCAGGCGAGGGATTTCACTTCAGTTTTGCGGCTTTTCGGATGTTTAAGACCTTTAAATGGATCTCTAGGCTTCACTTGTGGGCATTGTGACAGTTTTCTGTTTCTTTTTTTTAGTCGTCGGAGCGAAGGGGAGGATATAATAGAACTGGATTCGGTGGGCCAGCGGTTAGCTCTCTATACCAGGAGGAAAAAATAAGGTAACAAATCTTGCTTATGAATATGATTATTTTATTGTAATTTTTTTTATTTGATCCAGTGATCACTCTTGCATCAGTGATGCATGATTCATTTTCCTGCTCAAGGATACCAGACGCCCCGGTGCTTCTTCCAACGAGACAAATTAAGAGCTGAATTCACATGGTTTTACCTCTTAAATTAACAGTATTAGTATGCAAGCACAGGGGGGTGAAGAGGCCTTTGGAAGCAGTGGAGTATAATTACTTTTTTATGATTATATCAATGATAGGCATGTAAAATGGATCCAGGCATGGATGGATAAAGAAATATATGGAAGTATCAATACAACAGGGGTTCGTTCCCCAAGTTGACGTGTCCCGAGAGAATGTGAGTCGTTCATTGGGGACGGAAAAGCAAAGAGGCAATTAACATCCCGTTCCCCCTCCTCTCCTCCCATTTGTCGCTCGCTGAGCGTCCCATTTCGGGCGTGACCCAATCAGACCGCCATGCAAACTGCTTCACTGCGTTCCAATTTCCAAGCTCTGTGATTGAGAGCCCTCCTGCATATTCAAACCTCTCGTTAGCATTTGATTAGAGCGTCTTAATGGATTCTGCATTGCCCGATTGGAAAACCAGATGACCTGTAACTCCAGGACCTTCTCATTATTTTATTTATTTTTGCTCAAACTCACTTGAGAGACAACAGTCGATAAGCTGATCTGCCCAAGTTGCATAATGTTGTGCTTCTGCAGTTGTCATGAATGAGGAAGCTTCATTCACTGTAGAATGCATGATAGATGAGTTGTTCTGTGACGCCTTGGAGAGGGATGAATCAGATTGATCTGATCTGATTGATGAGAGCAGAGGTGTCAGTTTCAAAATATCAGGCTATTTTGGAGGGCAGTGTGTATGTGTCAGCTCTGCTCATCACTGATTGATGATGTTAAAGGGATAGTCCACACAAAAAATGAAAATTCTGTCATCATTTACTCAGCCTCATGTCGTTACAAACATGTAGGACTTTCTTCTGTGGAACATAAAAGATGATATTTTGAAGATTGTTGGTAACCAAACAGTTTCAGTTCCATTGTATGGACAAAAATACAATGAAACTCAATGGAAACCAAAGGTTTCATTTTTTGGTGGACTATCCCTTTAACATTGCCTGGTGTGCAAGAAGGATTCGGGAGACGGATTCAGAGTCCCGTAAGAGTTGTTCATTATGTTTTAATATCTATGTTTTAGTCTTTTAAGATTCCCTGTATAATCTGCTTTGAGGTCTGTGTGTGAAAACATGGACATAAGTCTTTTGTTTGGTCTCTCACTAGTCAGAAAACGTTGATCAAGCGTTGTGGAATGACAGAGTAGCCAGTGACCTTCCCAGAATGCTCAGCGGCATCGCTGATGCCATGTCGTTTATCAGTGGGCCATTAATCAGGTGTAAGCGTGGGCTTGTGTGCGCGTGTGTACTCGGGCTTTAGGAGTACAGGCCAGCATCAGTCTGACGAATGAGCAGTTTTATTGATTAGTTGCCCCGGGAGACGGATGATGCCCACATGGCACAGACACACTGGGTCACGGCAAGACCACAAACACTCACATATTCATCCTTATTTACTATGAGTGAGATAAGGCCAGGTTTAGTGCACACATATATGAGCATAAGCCATTTTCCATGAATATGGTGGACGTTGGTGTCCCATTACTTTTTTGCTTTTTTGTTTAAGTACAGATTTGTTATTGAATTTGTTCTGAGAATTATTTGATATGTTAGACAAACTATTAAATTACATAAATGTAAAATAGCAAAATGTTGTAGCTAATGTTAAACACCAACATTTTTTGTATACCCCTTAAAATTCTGATTTGGGCCTGTCACAAAAGGTAACCTTCATGAATCCAATCAAATAAAATAATACGATTATGGTTATGTCATAATTGTGACATAATCTGATGTCAAATTCATGTTACAAACTAGCTTAATTTAAGCTAAATTTACAACCATGTTTCTCATTCTGACTTTTTTATAGATTTTTCCATAGATAGATAGATTTATTTTTTAATTTGATAAACTTTTATCCAATCTAGCATGGTAATCTTTTAATTTTATTTATTATTTTAATTTTAAATGTTTTGCATATTTAACTTTAATTTAAAAAATGACAACATGTAGGATACATTTACAACACTTGTCTTGTACCCATTCTAACATTAGTAGTTTTTGTTTTAATTAATACATTTTGTATATTTAACGTCAATTTAAAAAATCACCAAATGTAGGATACATTTACAACCCTCTTATGCATTGTGACATATTTTTTAATTTGATCAATTTTGCTTACTTTAATAAAACAAAAACCACAGATTGTTTCAAAAGAATTTCAGGCCCTTTTTGAACCTTATTTGTGGAAACTGCAATAAATGTTTTTGTCCTACTGTAAGTAATTCGTTGTGTTGTAGGGTGTCTTTCCATTTTTATGCTGACGATATCCAGATCTATTTTACCAATCAATAGAAATGATCCTTCACCAATTAAATCTCTATTAAGATTACTGCAACTCTCTATTCTGCGGTATTTCTAAATCTCAAATTGCTCGCCTCCAACTGGTCCAAAATGTTGCCGCCAGATTTCTACAGAAAAGTCGTAAAAGCGATCACGTCACTCCAATTCCGAGGGCTTTTCATTGGCTGCCTATCCAGTTCAGAATCGATTTTAAAATTCTCTGATTTGTTCACAAAACCTTTCATAACCAAGCTCCCATATATCTAGTTGAACTGCTGCATCCTTATACCCCCTCCAGAAGTCTGAGATCAAGTATCACCTTCTTTTTGTCTCACACTCCAGAGCTTTTTCTGTGTGTGAGCCACGGCTGTGGAATAACCTGCCTTTAGATTAGATTAGACTGGCACCTTCCCTGATGATTTTTATTTCTCTTTTAAAAACGTATTTGTTCTCCCTGTTCTAGTGTTTTTAACCAGAGGCATATGAAATTTAAGATGCTCTCAAAACATGCCAGGCATAACATGCATCAAGTTTAGCACATAATTAATGCATTTATTCTGTTTGTATCAGACTTTTCCCACCACTGTGTGTCTATTTTTCATAGTTCTATTTTGTGTCAGTCTGTTGATTCTATGTATTCGAAATACTCTGATTCAGTCACAGAAATCAGTTCATTTAAAGTTGGCCAGCCTGTATGTCCTGTCTCTCTCAGGCACGGAGGTCCCGTCCGCCGCTAGTCTCATCTGCCCTGCCCCCTGTAATGAGAGTGAGGGGCGGCCACACAATAGGGCTCCGAATGCAATTAATCTGCCATCCTGCATGGGCAAGAGGGGCAGGGGTAAATCTCTTAATGAGATTTCTCCAACCAACTGTACCTCGTCCCCTATAACCCTTTTTCTTTCCCTCTCTCTCGATCTCTTGCTCTGCCCTGCCTGGTTCGGCCCAAATGCCACAAGGTGATTAGAGAGGAAAATAATTAAAACTGCTGTGGTGAGCGGAGCGCCAGCCTCCTGAGAATGCGCCACAGAGGTGGATGGGCATGTGACCATGAGATGCCTGCCAGTAACATGATTTTTTTTTGCGGCATGCTGCACCTGTGTGCATCAGTTTGGCCCCGTTTAGCCTGGCATTATCTTGGATCATCACTCAGATTTTCAGATTTCAGATTTTCTAGTGACAACCTTGACCCTGGTTATGTAACATTAAGAATAGACTATTGGTCCTTACTATGATTTAATGCTATTTCATCAGATGTTCTTTAATTCATTTCTATGACGTTTGGTAAAAGATTTTGTGTCATCATTTTGTGTCACCAATGGTGCGAGGAGCCTCTTGGAATTGCTCCGTTTATTATTGCTTGAAGTTTTTTCAGGGTATTTTCTTTTTTGTTGTGTTTGACTTCAGGGAAGAGGACAAAAATATTTTCGACTACTGTCGAGAGAACAACATCGAACATGTCAGCAAGGCCATCAGCTCCAAGAAAGTGGACGTGAACACAAGGGACGAAGAGGTTGGCTTTTTCTTATATTTATACATTTTATAAATGCTAAAAATTAAGCATTTAACAGCATATTAGACTGAATTCTGAAGGATCATGTGACACTGAAGACTGGAGTAATGATGCTGAAAATTCAGCTTCTCCATCACAGGAATAAATTACATTTTAAAACATATTCAAATAGAAAATGGTTATTTAATATTACTATTATTATTAATAATAATATTTCACAATATTACTGTTTTACTGTATTTTTGATCAAATAAATGCAGCCTTGGTGAACATAAAAGACTTCTTTCAAAAATTTATTTAAAAAATCGTAAACTTTTGACAGTATAATAATTTTTTATTTATTTACACGAGTAGGATATTGCAATGGCAACTTTAAAGGATATTTCTTGTTCACTGTGTAGGGACCTTGTGAACCGCAACCAGCTTTTTCACCCTACTCTCTCTCTCTCTCTCTCTCTATCAATGTAAAGAGATCAGTCCTCGGTATTTCCCACACGGCTAAAACTCCAAAGGTCACTGGATGCACCATTCATCCTCTCATCCCATTTTTATTCATACATCACCATGACCAAGTGGCCCGTTTCATTTCTTTCAGCAGTCCAATTCTGAAAGTGGGGAACCAGTTGGCTCCCCGTCAGGTCGGCCAGATGGCAGCCTTTGTCAGTCCACCATTGTTCGTCTCGCTAGTGCAGTGCAGCAGATGAACCAATAGAGGGCACTGGTGAATTGAAATCTGGTGTGTAGACTTTCAGGCCCAACCACACTGATTTACATGGGGATGTGAATTAGAGAAGAAAACTGGTGGAATATTTTAATACGCTTTTTTGTTGTTGCTGTGGCCAGGGGCGTGGTAGCGGGGGGAAAAGGGGTACCGAGTACCCAGGGCCCGAGGCAGGGGGGGGGCCCTTAGAAGTCGCCGAGCTCAAGTCAAAAGTCCGCTCATACCCAATCCCCCCCCCCCCCCCCCCCGTTGGAGAATTCGCCGCGCTCAAGTCAAAAGTCCGTCTCCGTCTCTACGTCTCTACAACAACATATACATATATCAAATGTAAATTTATGTCCCTGTTACTCTTAATTTTCCTGGTTAAAAAAACATTACATAAAAGGAGAGACCAAATACAATTCTATTTTGTATTTTTACACTATGTAATTTTCTATTTAATAAATCAAGTATACATTTCAAGTTGCATGCATTTATACATTTATTCCAAAATAATAACTAAAGTCAGAAACAATTTAAACAATACATATTATTTGTGAACTAATGTTCAGCTTTTCTTTTTAATAGTCAACTTATTTTCAGCAGTCATAAAGCGTATACCCTGGTCACAGACACGAAGTGTAATTTCACTGAGCTGATTGCTCATTAAATCCCCCCCACAGTCATCATGTTTTCAGCCCATTTCAAGTTTGATTTTGAAATGACATAAAGCTGTCATATCTAAGTGGCTGAGTTGTTTGCTTAATTTTAATTAGTCTTCCCATTAACCCATCATTGTCTTCATTCAGGCCGCACACGAAAACAAGGCGGGATTTATTGCACGAGCCAATCATATACAATCATATCGCAATGGAGGCATTGCCTCCTCTCACGTGACCCCCCCATTCATTCTCAATTATCCCCCCATCAAACTCACCGCACACTTTGGGGGTCTGTTAAAACTCAATGGGCTCAGGGGAGGCAAGATTCCCTCTGTAACTTTACCTGTGGGTGTCGCTGTTGGACAGTTTTTACTTTTACTTTTTAATGTCACATTTTGTTATATTTGCATTGTTTTATTTTTGTAACATCGATTATTTTCTCATCCAGTTTTTTTGGAGGAGACACTCCCTCCCTTGGCTTGATTTTTCTGTGTTCTTCCACCAATGCTGCGCTACATGCTCAAGGTCACACCTGTGAGAAACAAGGCCTTGCTTCTAGCCTGAAGCCCTAAACACACACTCTAACTCACTGCGGCATTATGATGTGATGTACGCGGTACGCACTCTGCTCTGATCATAATGCCATTTGATGTTTTCAGCGGAGGCTGTTGCCAGTGGTTTAATTTGGGCTGAGATGAGCTTCATAGCTGCCATTTGACCTCCTACGGGTCGGCCCGTCTCTGCAGGGGTCAAATACATTACCCTTAATGTACACGTGCAACTGGGTGCGGGGCAGTGGGGAAATAATCTCAGTGATGATGACAATAGATCCAAATAAACTGGGAAACTTTGAGTTATTCAGGTGGGATGATAGTGGATTGTGAGCAGAGGGGTGCTGGGACCTGGGGGAAGTACCACACGCTTTACACTTCACTGCTGGAGAACTGTATAACCATGAACACACTCGCACTGAAGGTGGACGTGATTATTCCGGTTTGTCTGTGTGGGTTTCTTTTTTTCAATCTGAGAAACGCAACTGATTAAATGCACAGCTTTGTCTTCAAAGTTTTGTTTATATTGTTTAGATATTTGTGGGCCTTCACTTATAATAATAATAATAATAATAATAACTTTATTTATAAATCTAGGCTTAGATAGAAAATATTGTATTTGGACATGTACAGTGAGGTTGAGAAAATGTTTGAGAGAATTTTATTATATTATATTATTAAAGACATTGACTAACTTTCTTAAACGTAAACTGAGATAGTCAGCTTATTAGAGAGATTTGTTCATTTTCAATTTGGGAAATTTATTACATTTTTCCTCACATCATTGTTCTAATAATATATTAAGTAATGAAAAACAATGGTGTTAACATAGAAAAATTTTAAATTTAAGTATTCTCCATGATATTCTTGAAGTACCATGTGTAAAACACGATGTAAAAATGGATCATTCAGTAGAACCACAGTATATTTCAAAGTAATAATTTGAAATATACCATGATAATTTCCATCTCACACCATAACCTGACCACCCCATAGTGTTTTTGTAAAATAATTTATTTCTAAATCAGATCATGTTAAATGAAAACAACAGCATTCTAACCCATGCATTTAGATCTGAAAATATAAGCGCAGTGAGGAGCTTTTCAGTGTGAATTTAAATGTTTTTCTGCCGCTTTGTTATGCTTTGCAATGGTGTTTCATGTTTTTTCTTTCTTATTGTAATTGTGATGTCTTAAATGACCCTGTGTGTCTACACACGCCTCCAACAGGCACGAGCCCCTCCGCCGGAACAAAAGAGGGCCGGACTCATTTGTGCAAATGTCCCAAGAATTTCTTGCTTTCCTTTTCTCTCTCTGTTTGTGCTGGAGCTGCCCCATCAATTACAGGCAATTGAGCCGGCAGCTCTCCACCCTCTTTGGCAAGGACATTGTAAAGCAAGAGGTTTCCCATTCATCTGCACTGAGCCCTGTTCAATGCACCGCCCCGCAGTAGAGTCCATGCCTGTCACACTTAATCCAGAGCTCTCACACGGGACAGGAAGGTGTAATCAGTGGGATTTCTAGATCTTTACGGTTTCTAGAGCTCTTCCGCTTAGTTGGATGGAAATTGAAGAAGAGGATGTAGGTTTTTCCATGTGTTGGCTATCTTTGCTGAGACTGTCAATGCAAGGATGATTATAGCACTTTCTTTATTATTCACATATGGTCAGAATTTCAAGAGATTGTCCTTGTCCTTAAATATGCTTCAATAACAATGTATACACTACCATTCAAAAGTTAAGGGTCTGTAAGAAATGTTATTACAATTTAAAATAACTTCTATTTAACTATATTTTAAAATGTAATTTTATTCCTGTGATGCAAAGCTGAATTTTCAGCATCATTACTCCAGTCTTCAGTGTCACATGATCCCTCAGAAAACAATATGCTGATTTGGTGCTTAAGAAACACTTATTAATCAATATTGAAAAGAGTAGTTGTACTTAATATTGTAGTGGAATTTCTTTATTTGGGATTCTATGATGAATAGAAAGTTCAAAAGAACAGTCTTTTGTAACATTATAAATGTCATCACTTTTATTCAATTTAATGCTTTCTTGCTGAATTAAAGTTTTGAATGACCTCAAACTGGCCTAATTTTTATTATAATCATGTCTTTATAACAACTCGCAATGTGACTTTTTGTTTTGCCATTGCAACTTCATAATGTGGCTTTTCTTAATTGAAACTTTCATTCACCAATAACTTTTTTTTATTATATGAGGCAGAAACAGGATTCCATAGAAAGCACATCGTAATTGCACAGCTATAATAAAAGTATATATGAAATGGTCAAATATGTAGCAGTTCTAGCTGTTGAAACCACTTCAATTTTGGATGTTTTTGTCTTATGTAATGAAGTGTTTAATAAAGACAAAGTAGTGCAGAATTATGTATCAGATGGTAATATGGATATATACTATGGTACTGAATGATTACCATATTTATATACACTATATAAATATTACCATGATTCAAATAATACCATGTCTAGAAGCTATGGTATTATCATGGTACTGTGATAGTAGCGCCATGATACTTTTTTTTTTTTTTTTTTTTTTCAAGCGCTGTGGATCCAGAGAATTGTTTGTCTTGGGAGGAGAGTGGGAGAAAAGAAAAATGTTTGGCTATATCTCTGATGAAAATTTGACAAACAGTCCAAGGGACACCCTCCGCTCCCAAAAAAAAAAAGAAATCCTTGTGGTGTAAGGCTTCGGACTCCCTCATAAATATCAATTTTAACATGCAGCAGTGGAGATCAATATAATTTCAGCCATGGAATACGACTTAAGGAGTTGGCTTTATCTAATTGGCCTTCACTGAAAAATGAACTCTGCAGGCTCGATAGGCACAAGCGGCTTCAGGCCTGGGGGGCGGCGCTGGTGATCAAGGGTCTACTCTCTTTTTGTCCCCAGAACCACATCAATCACCGCTAAAGAGTCTCCCGTCCCACTGCAATTTGTTTCTGGAGCGCCCAGGATCTTTCCCTCCCACAATGCCCTTCTCTCTCGCTTGCACGGTGGCCAGAGAAGAACTCATCCTGTCAGCACGTCGTTAAATAGTTGGGTCTAAAGGCTCTGAGTTATAAATTGTTGTGCATAATTTATTTTTTCTGGAGGAGAGAAATCTATTGTGAAGTTAACTTTATAGAGGTCCGCATAACAAAAGGGAATAAATGAATGTGTTAGGGGTGAAGAGGGATTCATCCATCTGAAGGAGTCGACCCATAGGTTGTGTGGTCTGCAGACACATCTATGGTTTTGGGTTGCAGAGGTCCTTCGCAAATACGGGCTGTTATTGAATATTCTACACGCCTCTTGGCTGGTGCTCATTTTTATGCTCTGAATCAAAGCCAGAAAGAGAGTTTATTAAATAACTGTATCTAAATCAGAGTAAGGGATTGAATTATGGGATCGAACTCCATAGATTGACCTAAAGACATATTATGCATTGTCTGCAGCAAAACCGAACCGAAAAAATGTAAACTGTCTGCACACTGTTTTGCATTTGCATCCACCATGATTTTTTTTCTTCTCTTTTATCGTAATAAATGATTTTTGTGTTTCAGGGCAGAGCTCTCCTGCACTGGGCGTGTGATAGGGGCCACAAAGACCTGGTGTCTCTACTCTTGCAGAATAACGCTGATATCAATAGCCAGGTGAGTCTGTAAACACACATAAAGACATTCTGGCTGATAAAGATGACTAGGTCATTTTCATGCTATAGCTGATTACCGACGTGACGGCCAAAATGTATTTTGCCCATCAACAAACACAGACTGACAAAGGCGATTGCACAATGGATTGCTGTCGAGTGGGTTTATGTTCAATAATAGGGAATAAAACAAACAATATATTGACTTTTGAGACTGAGATTTAAATAATGTGAATAATTGATCGGCATGTCATGCAATTCATTTCTTTAAAATCTATTTAAAAATAAATTCTTAAAAAAAAGTCCTAATATCGACCAATACTGGAACAAAATATGATGACCAATATATTATGTAAATTAGGGATGTGATATTCGGGGGGTTTTAAATTATTAATAATTGTGCATGCTCATTTCCTATATTTTTACATTTAGATTACCTTTGCCGTCATCTACATTTTCCTTTAAAGTTTTTCTTTAAAAACACTAATAATTGCATTAAATGTAATCTTTAGCAAATCTCAAAATGAATTAAATTTTTTCATAAATATTTCATTTTTCACTGTACATAATGTTTATAATGTGTATACCTAACTTCACTTGTAGCATTTAAAATAAAATAAAAAATTAAAATGTAATATTTTATATAATGTAATTTTTTTTATATATATACCAATTAGTATACATTTTTGTGATAATGTATCCGTTTATTGAGATAGTATATAGTATATAGATAGACGGTACAGAAGAAATAACAGTGGGGGAAGAGGGGAATGGGATTGGGAAAGTTGCCCACAATGCTATCAGATCCGACAGTATACAATTTTAATTAAGTCCATTTATCAGTTGTATTTCATCAACATGAAAATAATTATAAGCTTATCAGCCAGAATTGTATTATTGGTGCATCCCTAGTGTATACACACGTAAGCATTAGCTGTGTTCATGCTAGCTTTACTTCTTGAGTTAACTTACTACTGGTATTATTTGTGGTTTCTTGGCAGTCAGTACACTTGTTTTGAGGTAAATATGTATGAAGTCAATTTATGAGCTGAATACTGTAGACTCCTGTGTATTTTGTATAGAAGTATATATTTTATTTTTCGATCCCAGAGCTAAAAGACCCTCATCATCACTAATCTGAGAGAACAGTGAACTGGGAAGTCCTACTGCCATCCTCTATCCCTGAGATTAGCAGCGGCTGTACTTTAATCATTTAGGGATATCGTATCGGCGTAGTACGATGGGCGTTAAGCAACACACTGTAAGCAGGTAGCTGTGTTTAAAAAAAAAAACAATACAGGTCATAATGGCAGATTTGGCTTTGTCTTAAGCTGGCTGAATACTGCATTGGGAAATTAATACGGTGAAGTACAGTTATGCGGTCACTGGCTTGATCTGATTCTCGCTAAGACAAATCAATTGGAAGTAATCAGCCAAATTGTTTGCATTATACAACCCATATAATCAGAGCATTTGCAAATGACTCTCTCTTTTTTTTTTGGTGGCGGTGGACCTTTATTGTGTGAGCAGAGAGCAAATGCTTGGCCTAGACGACAATCAATGCTCTTCTATTGTTGTTTTTTAACAGGTACACTAATGTGAAATCCCCACTAGAGCTACAATAGAGAACATAACGTCATATTATATGAAATAAACATTTTATCACTGGCTCTGTATAGCATATATAATCATATAAAGTTGTTGTGTGCTTAATAACACAGAATAGGGTTAATTATTAATCAATTAAAAAGAAAAAGAATATATATATATATTAGGGCTGTCAAACGATCACGATTAATCGCATCCAAAATAAAAGTTTGTGTTTGCATAATATATGTGTGTGTACTGTGTATAATTATTTTGTATATAAATGCACACATGTATATATTTAAGAAAGATATGAAGACCTCCGATGCAAAAGCCTCTAAAAGCCACCTATGTCAAAAATGAGATAATAATATTGAGTGAATGCTCTCCGCACATAGTTATACGTTCATCAAATACTTTCACTTCAAACTCACTAAATCCCAGCCTCAGCCCATTCAGAAATGTCGATACTTGGGTAGAAACCTATACATATAAGCCTGATAAAAATGTTAATATTAAAGAAAAACGTTAGACGGACTTAGAGGCTTTTGCATTTGAAGTCTTCATATGTTATTTATATATAAATGTTTATATTTATATAAAATATACATTATATATAGGCTACATTCAGTCTATATACAGTATATACATGCAAATATTACTTAAATACACATGCATGTGTGGGTATTTATGTATTAAAAATAATTATACACAGTACACACACATATATTATGTAAACACAAACTTTTATTTTGGATGCGATTAATCGCGATTAATCGTTTGACAGCCCTAATATATATATATATATACACTTAATCACCGGCCACTTTATTAGGTACAGCTATTCAACTGTTCGTTAACGCAAATATCTAATCATCCAATCACATGGCAGCAACTCAATGCATACAGGCATGGAGACATGGTCTAGAGTCTTGACGATCTGCTGAAGTTCAAACTGAGCATCATAATGGAGAAGAAAGGTGATTTAAGTGACTTTGGACGTGGCGTGGTTGTTGGTGCCAGGCAGGCTGGTCTGGGTATTTTAGAAATGGCTGTTCTACTGGGATTTTCACACACAACCATGTCTAGGGTTTACGGCAGTTCTGTGGGCGAAAATGCCTTGTTGATCACAGAGGTCAGAGGAGAATGGCCAGACTGGTTCGAGCTGATAGAAGAGCAACTCAAATAACCACTCTTTACAGCTGAGGTCTGCAGAAGAGCATCTCTGAGGAATGTTTCCAGCACCCTTTTGAATCTATGCCATATATATATATATATATATATATATATATATATATATATATATATATATATATATATATATTTGGATCATAGGTGGTCCCCTTACATGAATACAGCCATGTATAGTCTATAGATGTCCTTCAAAGTTCTGTGCTGGGCTACTGCACTGACCAGCAGAAGGTGAATATTGCTGGACGACAGCAGGAGAATTACTGAGGGCAGATTTATTAAGTAGCGTTCAGGTGGCATGAGAGAAAATATGGCCGTGTTAAATCATGCTACTGCTCCTGCCAAAATTATTATCCTATGTTAATACTTTCAGGAAGTGTGATTTGATAGCAATATAAAACTTAGTAGCCACTCATTAGGTTCAAGTGTGAGCCATGACTGCGTTTGAAAAGCGCACAACGAAACCACAAAATAGCTCAGTTTAGATGTATTTTCTTATTTATAATTGTTTTTCAGGTACTTTGCACTGTGTTTACCAACTGACTTTGATTAAATACAATCTAAGATCAAAGTTAACACATTATCTATGAAAAATATTACAATAGACCATCAGTGAATGATGGTTGGCGTTCACGCATCTGTCCTGTGATCCGATTTCAGCTTAGTGTTAAATAAAGATAAAAGTGGTTTATATTTTTAATTTGTTGATTGAAAAGGGGGGAGGCGAGGGAAAAAATGCTATTATGTCTTCAATGAAAATTGTATTGAAATTAATCAGCTGATGGACGTGGTGGTCGTGGAGTGAATATCGTGGTGTTTCGGTGTAATCCTGGATCAAGAGAACCACAATAGGAGCAAAAAGTCCCCTTGTTCTCTCAGATTAGCTCATATGCCACCTGTCAACAGCCACCTGGACAACATCACAGCGACAATAAATATTTAGTTCTCTCTGCATAATTGAACAGAACTGGGGCACGTGGGAGAGTTTGGGGGGACTCGTTTTTTCCCGCGCATAGAATCTAGTTCATGTGTGGCACAGTCAGTTGTGTACTGGTAAAGTCTGTGTCTGAGTTCACGCATCTGTTGTTTTCAATTTCAATTGTGTGCTTGTGAATACGCAGAGTCTATAGAGTATATGTGGTGTGATGCATAAAAAATAATTCTCATTATAATCAAACCTGTGAAAGCATCTGATTTGTTTTCGTCACAACATGCATTGCCTTTTCTATACATATGTGGATGTTTTTGCATGGTTCACTTCAGACATTCTACTAACTATAATTAACTCTGTAACTACATTTCAACTAACTCTCATTAAACTATTAGTAGACTGTCTGCTTAATATCTACCAACTCTTTATTTGATGCGTCCCAACAGACATTCTAATGACTATAAGTAACTTTGCAATTACATTTCAACTTATTCTACTAACACCAAACCTAAGTCTACTAGAGTCTACTAATAGTCTAATGAGAGTTTGTTGAAATAGTTGCAAAGTTACTTACAGTTAGTGGAATGTCTAAAATAGACCATCAAAATAAAGTGTAACCAAAAACTAAACTACTGACCCTAAACATTTGATTCTACACACGCTGTAGCAAGGATTTAAAAAAATTTATAAAAAGGTTTTGCTATTCTAAGATAATCCATAAAAAGCTGGATTTTTAAGCAATACGAGTTAGCACTCACAGCTGACTGGTCTGTGGACGTGTGCATTCAAAGATGACTTGCAACTTTGACGTTACCAATGTAGACCGCTTCACGCCGTGAACGTGAAGCCTGATCTGATGAAGGATCCGGTTTTCTGTCACCAAACAGAACACAAACACCATTTAATGCATTCTTTATACATTCATTCAGGGGCTTTTGAAGTTATTTGCATGTTAAGCAATCTAACAAACAGTTTCAGTGGCATGATCAGAAATTAGAGCATGGAACTTAATGAGCTTAGCATCACAAAGCATGTTTTGAATCTCAACGGCCTGACTAATGAGCGCTTCTCTCAAACAAAGAAGCAGGCAAGCCATAAAACTTTTGGTGAAACTTCAAGGAATATATAAAACATTATGATAATTTTAGCCTTTGACATATAACTGTGTAAAATGGCAATTTTAGTATGCTATCCATTTTTGTTATAAACCTCATGCTTTTTAAGAAATTTGAGATTGTAGATTGACAATCTTCTATTGACTTGCAATTATAGAATGTATTTCACCTAAGCATTTA